AAATAATTCTACAGCTAAAGTATGTGATTGCAACACATATTATCAAGTTGCTAAATGATGAGTACACCCAACTTTTTGAATTGATTAGAATATAAAATTTCTAGTGTAAATTTTTAAAAAGAATAGAAATGTTATAGAATGAATTATTATTATTATTATTAGTTATTATTATTATTTTTTTATTATTATTATTTAGTATTAGTTATTCTATTATTGTATTATTATTATTACTAGTAGTTGCTAGAACTTTTCAATCAATTAGTAATCACTTAGTCATTTAGTTATTTAGTTTCTTAGCCACTTAGTCACTTAGTTATTTAGTAATTAGTTACTTAGTAATTATTAGTCATTAGTTGCTAAAACCTTCTAGTTATTTAGTAATCAAGTAGTCACTTAGTTGCTTAATTGCTTAGTCACTTAATGCTTAGTTATTTAGTCACTTAGTTACTTAATTACTTGGTCACTTAGCTGCTTAGCTTACAAATATATAAACTCTGCTAAATTTTTCGAGTGCAATTAAGCAACAGACACTCCTCTTCTCTTTAATATTGTAAACACATCTTGAAATTCTTTAAAAACAGAAACCTAAGAATAGCCCTTCTTGTTATTACTTTAATAAACAGCTTTTGATTATAAACTGTATTGATACTTCTTCTTTAGAGTAATTTTTACAAGCAAGGTTTATCTTTTTTTAGTAAAATAAAGTAAAGTTATTAGTATTGCATTATCTTTCCTAAACTGTCTCAGAGAAGAGTATAGTTTCTTGACAATATCTAACAGAAGCTATATTTCCCTCTTGGATACTGCATATATCTGTAAGAGGTTCCCTATGCTGTGTTATTATTATAGTATGAAAATTAAGAAGGCTTTCACTTATAACATTATTTATATTATAATATGCTATTTTAATACTTATTATACTGTTACTATTTTGGTCATATGGAGTACATCAATAAAAATGGGACAAATTTATTAGATAAATTTGTCCCATTTCTATTGATGTCACCCCATATTTGTCTTTATTTAAATCTAGTTTATTATTATTATTTTTTAACTCTGTATTTGACAAAATAGTTATCTCTTTCTGAATAATATCTACAACAACTTTTAGAAACAATTCAGAAACATGCTCTTTAATTGTTTTTCTTCTATTTCATTTAATTTTTTAAATTCTGTTAAGAGTATCTTGTAAATCACTTTTTAGCTTTTTAATTTAATTGCTTCAAACTAAACACTATTTTTATGTTTCCTTTTACTATCTTGTCTTTTTTCTGCTGATTTTTTTTATTGCTATTCTTCTTTTTAAATTTTTTTTTGTCTTTTGAAACCCTCTTATATTGTGAAGTATTTTTAGTAATCTGATATTCTTTTGCTTTTCTTTTTTTTCTATTTTACTACTCCTATAAGCCCTTGCAATGCTTTACTTCAACCTTGTATTGTAATAATATACTTTTTTTCTTGTAAACATTTTAAAATTTTTTTTTGTTTTAAAATACACTGATGCCATTTGTTGCTAATTCTTGTCTCTATTAATTGATATATAAACTGATTTTGCTTTTACTCTTTTAAGCTGTCTTAATAGTAATATCTTTATTGTTGTTGTTAAAATATTTTTAACTATTGCTTTATATAAGGCTTTTTTTTTTAACAGTTCTTTTGTAAAGGCATCTAATATCATTCTACAGATCTTGCCTTCTTTAAAGTATACTGATTATGCCTGATTAAGTATTACTTTTCTTCTCTTGTTTTTAAATTTAATTAAGAACATTGCAGTTTTACTATTATTACAATTTTTTTATTGTATAAACCTAATTCTACCATAGAATTAAAAATATTTTTTTATATATACTAAGTAAACCTCTGCTGAAATATTTTATATAGTATAGATATTATCTGCATTATTTGTGTTTTTATTTTTTGTTATTAATTCTTCTATATAGTTTGATATTTATTTTCAGTTTTTCTGTATTTGTTTACTATTTTTAACTATTTTTTTATTTTTTTCTGTCTTTTAATTTATTTCTTCTCTATTTGTATTATGCCCTTTATTTAGCTCTATATTATTTATTGATTCTTTAGTTTGACTACTTTTTTTTTTGATACTATTTTTTTTTTCATGTTTGACTTGAGTTTAGCTGTCTGTTTTTCTATAATACTATAGTCTAAGCAGCTATATTCTTGTTTTAAAAGTATTTTTTTATTTGCCTTTACTTCTTTTAACTGTTGAGCACTGTTTTTCTTTAGTTTTTTGCTATCTTTTACTTGTACATATTTACAGTAATCATATAATTCTATTAAGTTTCTAAATATACAGACTAATACTAGCTCAGTACTAATGAGTTTAGCTAATTTCTTATTTTTTTAAAAAAATTTTTAGTTTATGACTTTTTAATATTTTTTTCTACACTTTGTCTGATTTATCAAACAAGCATTAATATTTTTTAATTTCTTGTATTAGTCAATTTCTGTAGATACTGATTGAACTTTCTGTATTACACTTCATTGCATTATCCTATGACTTAACTAGATATACTCAACATATAATTAATTTATTATTTCTGTATTTGTTTGTTTATCTGCAAGATTATATATTTTTTATTTGTTTTTTTGTTATATTTATTTCTGTTTTACTCTATATATTACATGTATGATCTGCAATATAGAGTTTCTGTATTTTGTTATTTTTTCTTAAAAATTTTTGAAAGCAAAAAATTTTTTAAACTTTTTAATAACAAGTTGCTATAAAATGCTATTTTAGTTTACTATACTAATAATCTATATCTAATTTTCTATTAGCTTTCTTTTTGCCTAGTTAACTACTGTACTTTGACTTGACAGTTTTTGTGTTTTTTATAATTTTTTTTTGCTTTAAATTTAGTTATAAGGATTATTAAAAAAAGTTTATTAAAAAGTTTTTAATACATATTTTTTAAATTCAAAATTTATAATAATATTATTAAATATTTATATTATTTTTTACTTAAATCTTTTCAAATAAGCTATTGTTTCTTTAGTTTTACAAATTTATATAATTATAAAACTTATTTTAGAATTGTATTACTTAATATTAATTTGCATTTATTTATATAATTTAAAATACAATAATGCTTTATAATTTGTTAGTTATGCTAATATAATTATAGTTAAAGATATCTTATTTTAACTAAATAAGAAATAATAATTACTATAATACAAGTATTTTTTAAATTTTTATTTTGAATTTTACTAACTATAACCTATAGTAATGATCACCTATATCACGTGACAACCAACTTAATTCTACGGACACATATCAGTCATATGACCCTAAATGTTATGAACACGTACCAATTACCAACCTTAGTTTAGAGTATATGTGATTTTATATAACTTGTACATGTCTCTCTTAAACTATATCACTGTAAAAAGTTACTGTCACACAATAATCAACAGTGACTTATACCATTTTAATGTAATATAACACAATTAACAAAATGTAAGAATCGCTTATTTCTCCTTTTGTGCTCTAACAAAAAAAATTCTTATGCAATTTTACTATATACTCCACTAGTGCCTAGCTTTATTAGAAACACTAACCCTAACTTAAACAAACTTAAAGATTTTTTAGTACATTACAAATATTATCACATGTCAATAACTCTTTTACTTAAAAATCAGCTATAACTTAAAATCTACATAGAAAACCATCTGCATATTAATAAAAAACTTTTCTTGACTGATTTTACTATTCGAATTCCTATAAAGTAGACTCTAACTCTAACATAACCAAACTTAAAGAATTTTATTGTATATCACATAGGTGTAAAAATTTTGTTAGCACTTCTGGAGAAGATACTTATTTATTATACAAGCGAATTTAAGCATAATCTGCGACATGTACTATGCATATATACACAATTGTATTGATACAAACTTTTAATTAGCAGTTCTACATATAAAGTAAATGGGCATTATGTTGCCATATGCTGCAAGTGAAGCGAGCAGCTAGGAAGTATACTTGCAGTGCTTTTTACTAAAAAATTCCACCTTTTGACAACTTTATTAGATAGAATTATTCACTGTATGAAAAACATATAGTTTAATTAATCAACACTTAGATCTATAAAATACATTTATTCAAATATCTCAAGCCAGTAAAAATTCAATATATGCCAAGCTTACTTGTTTTGTGCATAAAAAAAAAAACAAAAAAACTCAATAAATATGCACTTTGTGTACTAAATTTCAAAATTGACAAACTTGAATTTTTTGTTTTGTCTTAAACTACAAACTTTAATAAAAAAAGATATATGACAAATTTTTAAGATTAAATTCTACTTTCAATACCATGTTACGACCTTGATGTTATTACAAATCTTAACACTAATAGTAATAAGAACAATAATTTATCTAAATCCAACCCTAATCTCTAATATTAACAATTAAATAATTTTGTATAATCCAAAATTATAAACTCTATAACCTAACCCAAATAGCAATAATTAATAATGATTTGAAAGTGCTATATAGTAATAATACTTACTTGGTACTGAAAATATTATGCTATTTTATCCAAAAAAGACATTATTAATAAATTACTCAAACTCAAAGGCCTATAACTATTCTTAATATGATTCAGAAATATTGAAAGTTCAAATTAATCTAGTTATAAATGTGCATAAATTATACTTGACCATTACAAATTATACCAATTGCAATAAATTATACTATAGCACTATTCTAATATTTACATACATGCAACCCTTGTACGTATCTCATAACTATTCTTGCTGTTTACATATACATGCATTATGACCTGTTCCATCACATGTGTTACATACATATTTTCTCTTACAATCTTCTGTGTTGTTGTCTACAGAATTATTACTATTTGAGTTTGAATTAACAATTGACAAAGGAACTCTCAAATTAGGATCCTGGAAATTAATTGCACTATAATTATATGCTAGTTTTTTATGGCTTTGCATCTCTAAAGAACTTTTTAAACGTTTTGTTGCTGGTCATCTATGATGCTTTATAACTAGAAGATGCATAACAACCATCTTTTCAGGTTGACCAGAATGAGTATCTTCATTGTTAATATTCTCAAGTTCAAACTTTTTTTGTTCAACAAAATAAGTAACCATATCAATCAATTCCTGTTCACAACTGAGATTCAAAGCAGTATTGAGAGCCTTCTTCATTTTTCTGAATCCATTGGCATATCTGACCTTTTTGTTAGCTATTTGTTGACCTTTTGTATTATTTACATTAGTATTTCGAATTTGTTCAATAATATGAAGGTCTGGAATAATAATATCTGTAGCCTTTTGTTGGAAGGTCATTGAAATGTTAATGCTTTGTTGTAAACCTAATTCTTTATCTTGCTATTTATCTTGATACCAGCACCTTGTCACTAACCCAATATGAAACTTTGCCGTTTTGGTGTTCATCATTATTTGAAAAAAATATGCGCATATAATACCATGATTGATAAAAGTTATGAAAGTGCATAAATGTTTATCATCACTTAACAATACAATATAATGCTTGTAAACCGATGACAATCCAAACAGCCCCTAAACCTCAACTATGTCATTTGGATTGATATCCTTTATAAGAGCAATGATAGATATTTGTGGTCTATCAAGTTGGTTCTCCAAAAAACTATTTTCATAATCTAATTGGCTTTCCTGAAAAAAAAAATAACTTTGAATGTAAATTAACACTGATCAAAATTAAAAAATTCGATATGTTGAAGTTTTTAATTTTAGCTAGTATTAAAACTTATTAAACACAAATAATAAACAAACTTTTAACCTAAAATTCTTGAATGTCTTACTTTGCTCGTAGTTGTGCATGATATAAAAGAGATCTAATAATTTGCCAATGTTGTATAGCTAATATGTGAGATGTCAAATATAACTTTAATATTTCCAATACTTTTGGAAATATTGTCTCAATGATTGATGGTGCTTAATTAGTAGGAAGAGAATTTAAATAGTTATTATGTTGTGACCATTTTGCTTTATTATCTAGAAGTTCCTGTATATGTTGGTGAAGGTTATGCAAAAAGAATGTACTTTTGATGCTGTCTTTGATTAGCTTGTTCATTACTTCAATGCGTTGAGTACTTTGAATACCTGCTATAAAAAATTTTAATTGATAACACCATGCCCACGACCTTACACAATCTAGCAATGCCCTATCAAAGTAACTTTGTGCTTAAGGATACTTGTTTAACAGCATGAACACCTTCTGTTAAAGTTTTCTTCACAAGTACTATTTCACACATGTAAAAATTCCTTATAGAACTCTTCAAATTGCTTAACAAGCTTACTTCTTAAATTTTTACAGATATTCTCCTAAATGTGAAAAATACATAAAAAGTGATTCATTTGAGATAATTTTAGAGAAATGGCACGAATTAAAGCAGGTTCTGCATCTGAAAACAAGGAAATTGATGATATATTATTAGTTGCATCCATAATATATTCAAGAAACCATTCATATGACTCTGTAGTTTCATCATCAGACAATGCTTGAGCTACCAGTTGAAACCTTGTATTATTATCAATGATTACTAAAAGTGTAAGATACATGTCAAACCAATTGGTTTGACATGTATTATCAGTCTGGACAATATCGATATAACAGATCAAATATTGTTGTTGCATGGGTGATATCCAAAATAATCCTAATAATCGATTGTCATACAAGTCTAAACGAATGTAAACAATTCAACCAGAATCCTGATTTTTAAGTTGCAATAAATAATTGACAAATTGTTATGCTTCATCATAATGTTGATTTAATGATTTTCTAAACCTTTAAACAAACAATAAATAAGAGGCAAAATGGCCTGCATAAAAAAAAAAAAAGAAAAGAAAGAGAAAAACCTTTGAACAGCATTATATAGGTTGTGTTTATATATTGTATAATTAGGAAATTGCACTGTCAAAAGAGGTAACATTTGTTTAGATCCCATATTTCTGTTCATAACATAAAATTCTATTTTTTCCAAGATTTCAGAAGATAATATTCTATATTTTAAAGCATATAAAGCAATGTTTAGTTGCATTTGGTAATTATGCTTTCCTACTATACTCATAATAGTTACACATGAAGATGATTTTAGATATGATAGATTTATATGTCATAAACATAAAAACTTTACTAAATTCCTATCATGCTGCCTAGAAATGTCAATAACCTAGTTGCTAACTGCCTTACCAGAACATGAGCACTCAAATGTCTGTCGTTGAACTTTACTATCTTTATTAGTTGTCACTTGTTTTCAGCACAAAGTGAATCCTATAGCTTTAACATAACTGTTAAGATGTGCTTCAGCTAAATTCTATGATGAGAAAGAAGTATCCACTGAGAGTTGAAAGTCCTGATCATCATCTGGCTCTATTTTCACAAGTAATTCTATTGTTCTAGGCATTTTACCAGTTACTAACTTTATAGTTATATCATTAGTAGTTTCAAAATCAATCAAAGGGTTACTTGTTGATCCTAAAGAAATTACACCTAAAACTTCTAGTAAAATATGTTAAAAAATAACTGATAAAACTAAAGCATTTGTAAGGGATAACAAAATTAAATAAGATTATAGTTCACCTTCCATAATGTTTTTTGTAATGTGTTGGCAAACTAAAAACAAAATTTAGCAAAAAAAAAAACACTCTAATAAAGCAATAAAGTAAGCATACAGTAAAAAAGTGGATTCTTTTTGTTAAAAATGTAAGGATGTTAGTGAAAGTAACATATAATAAAAGAAACATGACACTGATGATAAACTAAAAAGACAAATGTAACAAATAAATGCCGTAACCAACCAAGCAATACAGTAAGAGCACAACAAGAATTCAGTTTTTCTTTGAATTAACATCGCTAAAGGTGTAAAAAAAAAGATAGTACTAAAAAAAACATGTAAGAAAGTAAGCTAGAGAAAAAGAAGTGAAATAAAATCACGGTAAAGAAAAAAATACAATATAAAATGCTCAGTAATAAGAAAAAGCGAAGAATGAAAAGATAAGCAAAATGTAAATATAATGTATTTTAAATCTGTAATTTATGCCAACTCTATAAGTAAAAAAAGTAAAATGAATGTATGTACTTAGATCAGCACATAATGTGTAATTTAATATGTGTCATCGTGCATAGATGTTGTACGAACATGACTAGGTGATCATCACCACAGGTTATAATAAGTATTTTTCTTTATTTTTAGTCAAAATATTAAATTAAATTTTTTTTTTTTTAATATTAATGATAAGGACATGCCTCTATCTTTATTGAATATTTATTTGAAATTTTTATATAAAGTATAAATTTATTATTAAAAATATTATAAAAAGAGTAGAAGCTCAGACTAGTTTATTTATGATCTAAACCAACAGGAGTAACTAAGACTTACCTAGATTTAGTTGTTAGTAATTATATATAAAAGATTAGTTTAGTATTTAATCTATTGTATATACCAGAAATTAATTTTAGAACAAATTGAATTAGAAAAAAAAGATTAAGGTGAACAAAATATTAAATTAAATACAATATATAAATTATTTTTATATAATAAAAGTAAAAAAAAATTAATAATATTTTAATATTTTATTTATGAAACTATCTTTAAAGTTTTTAAAAAATTTTTTTTTATAAAATTTTAGTATAAACTATTTTGTCTTAATATTAGTTTTTAATACTAACTTTAATATTAGCTAAATTTTTTTTTTAATATTAAGATAATTATATGCAACCTAAAAATTTATTAATAATATTTAACTTATAGTTGTTTATATAATAATTACAGAAGCAATTATAAAAAAAATATATAAGTAAATACTTATACAATTTTTAGTTATTGTCTAATTTATATAGTTTGTCTAAAACTTCTACATTATTGTTATATTTAGAACCTACTTATAAATTTGTTATTTAAATATTTTAGTTCTTATATTTGCTTATATTTTACAAATTGCATTTTAATAAAAATATATTATAATTATTAAGTCATATTTAACTTTGTACCAAATTTACCAAAATGTAACAATATTATAATTTTTTTGTAATTTTTTTTTATTATTTTTCTAAGTTTTTTTTTAATTATATACTAATTATTATAATTAATTTAGTTATATTTAGTTTATTAGTTTATTAAATATAAGCTAGGTGTTACAAAAAGGAACCAAATTGACAATTTTTTCAAACTTTTTTTTTTAAGTCTAACTAATACAAAATTAGCTCAAGAATATTTTTTATTTAAGAAACAAATACTGTTATCTTAATAAAATTTTGCTGTATAACTTTTTAAAGTTTGCATTTTCTTATTATTTATTATAAGATTTATAACATAAAAATTGATTTTTTGATGATCTTTTTTTTTGTCAATTTTGTTTCTTTTTGCAGCACCTAGCCTATATAATTAGGATTAATTTAACAAATATAATATAGATAAATAAGCATTATTATAACTCATTTATTTTATTCTATAATGCAATTTTACTTATTAATATATATATTAATGATCAACTTTGATTTATAATAATTTATATTTATGTTTTATTTTTATTTTTATTTATTATTAATTATATGCTATAATCTTTCAAATAGATTAGTAAGCCTTATGAGCAAACAAAACTTTTATTTTTAATGTATTTTTATTTTTAAATTTATGTAGTTTTAAAAATTATTTAAATCTAACAAGATTTCTTTAATAAAATTTAAGTATTTTTATTAACAAAATTATATACAAAAGTATTTTAAATAATAAAACTTTTATATAAAGCATTTTGTATCTTATACTTACAGCCAGTGTTGTCATGTAGACACTTTTGGACACTTTTGGACATTTTTTTAAATTAAAATTACTCAAAATTTTATTAAGATAATATATTTTAATTTTTTTATAAATGAATTCAGCACTTAAAAAAATATATAATTATATATATTTTTAATATACTTTATTGATTATTTAAACTTTGGACATAAACTTGGACGATTTTGAACAATTTTGAATGTTGGACATTTTATATAGTGTGGACATGTTTAATGTACAACACTGCTTACAGCTACCTTAATACTGCTTTGTTTTAGACAGTTAGAATTATTAAATTGCTATATCTTTATAAAATCTATTCAAATCTTAATAACTATTTTTTTTAATATTTTTTTTATTATCTTTTACTAACTGTTACTTAAAATTAAAAGATTTTCTTAAACTATAAATTCAAATAGCTTGGTATAATATATTTATATATCTTTTTTTTTGATGATTATAGCAACTTAGTTGGCCATATACTTTTTTATATATTTTGTTATTTGGTTTATTTGTTTATTTATTTAAAAATATTTTTAAGTTTTTATCAGTTTAATAGAGCTGTTAAAAGTTTATACTATCTTTTTACCCAGAATTTTTAAATAAGTTTTTAACTTTTTAGTTTTTTAGTTTTTTATACTAAGTAGTTTTATTATATATTTGTACTAAAATCTTATATAATACTGGTTTTTTATATTCTTCTATATATATATAACATTATACTTAGAAGATAATAATTATAGTATAGTAATTAAATTGTTATTCTTTAAGTAATAGATTTAAAGTTCAAATTTTATTAGTAGTAAAATTTTAAAAAAATAATTTTATTCTAACAATATGATTGAAGTATCTGAGATTGTTATCTTGTAATTCTAGTTATACAAGACTAACTTTGAAAGTATACAATATTATACAAATAAATTTAAAAAATATATACTCTAAAAAAAACTTTGTTAAGAAATTCTAAATAGAAAAGTAGTATAATTTTTAACAGTACTATTTGTGAAAACCTTGATTTAAAAAAAAACCTAAAACAGTTAATCTGTATAAGCAAGAATTTTAACTAAAGAGGTCTATCAATCTGACTACTAATTGAATTGAGCATAAAGTTACATTATGCAAAACTTATTATATTAATAGTATAAGAAAATAGACAAGATATGAGTAAGATTATAAAAGAAGATACTAAAGTTGTATGAATTTTACAAAGATATAGCAGTTTAATAGTTAGCTTTAACTGCAAATATTGGTCTTACCTATAGTATTACTAAGTTAGCTATAAAATAAAAATATAGAAAAGGTTCTAAAAGGTTTACTTTAAAGATAAATTAGTTTTAAAAAAGATCTAGATTTATAATCTAGTAAAATTAATACAAGAATGCAGAAACACTAAGTTTAAATAAAATATTCAAGTAAAGATATTAGATATGACAATTGTAAAGAACCTTTAATAAACTTCTTAATTAGATAATATAAAAAAATTATATATATAACTAATTATATACTTTTTTTATAACTGTTTATAATGTAAATATATTATTTGCTAATATTAATAAAAATTAATAGATCAGAAAGATTATTAAAAAAAATATATACTGTATATATAACATTATACTTTATATAGATGTTTTAAGCTTCTAATATTAGATAGAATTTAACTTGATATACCTAAAATTACAAATGCCTAAATCAAACTGATCAATAAGAGACAGTTACTGTAATACAAATATAATTTTCAAAATTTGGCATCTATTGAATTTGAACCTTATATCTGCACTTGAAGGTTGACAACCTGTTCACTTCACTAGGTCACTATACCTTTTTAACTAAATTTATTTATTTGTTTATTTAAATAAAAATTTATATAATATATAAACTTGTAGTTTAAACACTAAGATTAAATTAGTTTTATTCTTTTTTTATAAATCATTTTTTTATTATTTCTTTTTTTAATTTTTAATTTTTTTTTAAAAAAAACGTTATCAAATTACCAATATTTTTATTGTAGAGCAGAATTTTGACAATACCAGTAACTATCTACTATAGTGATAAAATAATATATTTAAAAAATTAAAAATCTAATTACTTTTAAACTTATTAACTGGCTTACTAAGTCAACTAAGTTTTTATTTATCAAATATTATATATCTATACTCATATCTTTTACTGTATATATAAATAAAACAGAATAATCAAAGAAAAAAAAAGAATATTATAAATAGTAGTCTAATAAAACTTTTTAATTTTTATTTTAATTAACCAATATAGCAAATTATATTTAAATACTTTTAAAAATTAAACTTGTAGATTAAGTAAAAAAATTCGTATATATTAGATATGCAATTACTTTAATAAAAATATTGGCAAGACTGCCAAAGTAAAGAAAAAGAATTTTATACAGTAAATTATAGACAAGCTTATAATATTTTAAAAATGAAAATTATAAATTTGATACACTGTGTACCGTAGTATATGTAATCCGAAAGAAATTTATTAATATCCATAATTATTTAATTATATAGTGAATTTGACAAGTTTTCATGTGTAGACGTATAATAATCACGTCTCTGTTTTATAATTACAACCAAATATGCAAATGAATATCAAAGCAAATCTTGTTTAATTTTAAATCTATCGAATCTATCAAAATGCGACTTTAATCTCGCTGTCTAAGGCAGCTTTAATCCGATAAAGGAACTTAAATAATTTCCAATAGTTTTGATTTTTTTTTTTATAAAAACAAGGATCATATGTATGTTAGAGTTGAGTTTTTAAAAAACAATTTTTTTGGGTACCTCGAATATTATTTTATGAATTCAAAATTACACTACATATAAGGGCAGATCATTGGACATTTCACTTGACCGATATCGAAGATCAAGGCATTTCAGGCTGGATCTTTATTTCATCTGTAGAAAACGCCATCTTTTATTAACTTTATAATATCTCCAAATTAAAGTTATTAACAATGTCTTTTAAATATGTTATAGGTATGATACTTAATCTGTTGAATTAATTATTTTGTCATCAATTCGCTTCATAAATTTTTTTTCATTACATAGAACATATGGAAGATAATTTGCATGAATGGTGTATTTTAGAGTATTGTCATATATCAACCTTCATTCCTACTTCAAATCTTTATTTCACAAATATATCAAAAGATACTGAATCGACACTTCTAGATATTAAAAGTCTTCAAGGAGCAAATTTCTTTACAAACCATATTATCGATTTGAATTTGAAAAAAGATAAAATTTGTCTTTTGGATCCATCTGCAAAAGACATTTTAAAACCTGAGGATGGAAATTATTTTGAGTATTTTTTATTTGGTGGAATTTTGGGCGATGATCCTCCAAGAGGTAACGATAATTAATAATGAATTTAATTTCATTTAACCTAAAAGTGATTTGATTGTTTATTAAGATAGGACATGTGAGTTGAGAAAGCACGGGTTTCAAACAAGGAGTCTAGGGGATTTGCAAATGACAACTGATACTGCCATAAATGTTACAAAAAGGGTCATAGAAGACAGAGGTTTGTTTATTTTGTGCTTATCTAAAGAATCACACTTTCGATCGCGTTTTGTCATTTGATCGTTTCCTTATCATTTTTTTATACTTTACAAGTTGTCATTGACCAGATTCCTTATATCGATTTTCCCGAAATTAAACTTAGTATAAAAGAATCAGTGGTAAACGCTTTTTTCATCTTCGGAATTTATAAAATTTGTGCTAATTTTCTAGAAAAAAAAAATATATATATATTATCTCATCCAGAAACTGTTTTATTTTCGTATTTCGCTAGGTCATGCCATTTCGATACATTACTATTCCACATCCAAATAAATCAACCTTACAAACAACAACAGACGAACTAAAACTAAACCTCGTACCTTTATTACCCGAAGGAATGATTGAATTGTTAAAAAAGGATGGTGATATGGCGTTTGAATTTTAATAAAGTTTTAGCAAAATTATTTATTTGCTTTTTTATAAATAAAGTGATAATTGTTACAACACTTTAAAAAAAAAAAAAAAGATTCCCAACAAAATATAAAATATGCGATTGAAAGGTGACCTTTTTATCATATTAATCACTTACATTTCATATAAAGCTATTGTGTATTATGTACTTATACTTTTGTTTTATATTGCGTGGTTGTAAAATAATTTTACTTATATATACTAAACCTTAGACAAGAAAAACGATACTAAAGTTACAGCATATTGTAAATTTTCACATGATTAATACTAGCCACAAGTTATCATAATGAATATGAAAATGTTAAGCAGCATTAAAATTTATTTTTATCTCTTGATTTTACTTCAGAAATGATTTCTCTTTATTGCTCCACGAAAAAATGTTGAATCCCAACATCGCAGAACGAAAAGAAGAAAAAACTGACATTGAATTTTCATCAACTTGCTGCTCGACCATTTCAGCTTCCATAGAATCTTTTCCCATTTCATCGACATCGGTAATAGACTCACAGTCATCGCTTTCATGTGATTTCATTTCCTTACTATCAAAATTTTGCTTCATATCGAATTTCCGATTCAAAATCTGCATCTTCGTTTGTGTAGGGGTTTTTGGCAATTCCATAACAACTTGTTCTGCAGGCAGATCGTCGGAGGTGACACTTGTAGATGACGTGTTTATTTCTAATTCTGTTTTTACATCATCTGAAAGAGGTGTGTCGACCTAATTATCAAAAAAAAAGTAATTTTAATTAATTATTCGATTTAAAACAAGTTTGAAATCGAATATTCTCTGCCTTAATAAAATATATTATATGTATACCTCCATAGATTCTGCATCTTCCTCTTTTTCATTTGAATCATTTATTATGAGTGTATTGTCATCTAAATTTTGTTGAAGCGTATGGTATATATGTTGCGATCTATCTTCAAAATTATCACTTTTAGGATCTACACCATTTATTACGAAACTTTCGTTTGTAGAACCATTATATTTTAAGTGTGCATTCACAACTTTATGAACATTATCTTTTGCTGCAGTATTATGCGAGGTTATGTCGACTTTTTCTTCCGCGTTAATACTTTGTTGCTGCATATCATTGGATTTGATTGTTTGTAGGATGCATGGATTTTCTTTAACTTTATGCTTACTGATATTCATAACTTCTTGCTTAGAAATATCATCGGATAAGATAAATTCGTTCTTTTCATTCATACTTGCATCTTCAGATAGGCGGGACTTTTTGGAAGGCCGCCATTTTCCAAAAACTTTACCTCTTCTTGTTGTCCTGAACAAATTATTATCTATAGTAACGTATCCGATGGACTTTATAAATTTTGTTTTAAGATTACGGTTATCAATAGGAACAGAAAGCGTATTATCATTACTATCATTATAGTTGTTAATTGCATGCTTTTGAAGTTTATCTTTAAAGTGAGTTGATTCAGGAATATCTTTCGAAGGATTTGAATTTAACATTGATTCTTGGGATGAGTGGGTTTCGATAACCACCGATTTAGAATTCGAATCAACAGAAAAGGAGGAATTTGCGGGAGACTTTTTTTGCAAAGATTTCTTCTTGGCATATGCCGAAGTTCCTTTTTTACCTTTTTTTGATCTCGAACTTTGAGAAATGATATTCATTGAATCTTGGAAACCTTTCTCATCATTGTAAATCTTTACACGCTTAACGTTTTTAACTGAAGTAACAGAATCTCGGTCACGTGCCTTCATGGTTAGCTCAATTTCTTTTGAAACTTTTCTTACCGAATAAACATAAAGAGCAATTATTTCATAAGAAGACAAATCTGATAATTGTTTTTTGAATAAATTGAAATTGAAAGAAATTGAGACATCCGGTAAAGGTTTAGGATCAAGCGTGTCCCATGATTTAATCGCTTGTTCCAAGAATTCTTGGGTTATGTCTAAACCCACGAGTTTAACCAAATATCTTGTTGTCACAGAAGGAGTTTTAGAAAGAAAATTATCTTTAGACATAACTCTAATGAACGAGAATAGTTGTCTGTTTCCGGTAAATAATACTGAAATAATTTTAGCAGGCCAATAACGTATTTTATCGCAAGTTATTTTAACAGTTTTGGTAGAACTAGAGGTTTGGTCGTCAGAACTTTTGAATAAACCGTTCTTGGAAATAGTAGACCTGCACGGCACCCATACATGGTCACCGATGCCATAAAGTGCAGTAACTTTGTCTTTAGCTTTCGCCATATTAAGACAATGACAAAATGACAAAAGTAGTTTCCGACTATCTGGAAATCAAGAAAAATTTTCGAGTGGATGACAAACTGCTTATAGATGTCCCGTGATAAATTATCTGCCTAGGTGGAAAGTTTTCATGCAAGAAATATAAATGGAATTGATCTGTTAAATCTATAAGAAATGTTATCATTCTTCAAATTTTTTTAAAAATTTAATTGATGATTTAATTACTTTTATCATTATATATATAAATATATATATATATACCCATATAAGAAAAAAAATCGTAATTAAGTGCTAATTGAAGTGTTAGATCGGCGAAATTGTACATACGGTACGTAATACATATTTTGATTATTTACACGACTCACATAAAGATTATATATATGAAACAAATATTGATGCTGGGTGATTTTATTAGATGTACCGTCCTTTCCTTAAAAAGAAAGCAAATTGGGAATACAAACTATGATTATTCCAATGTTAGTACATGTGTACTTTGGAAAGATACGTAGGACTTACCACAGTCACAAACTATAGAACAAACAAGTCAAAGTTATACGAAAAATGGTATTTGTACAGTACGCATATACATATATATGTATGTGTGATCAAATACTTTACACTACTATGAAGTCGGAAGCGGTTTGCACGAATATGTATTAAATTAATCCGTCTTTGCTTTCTTTTATAGTATTGGTTTCATTATTTATTAGCATTAAATAAGCCAAAAAAAGAATTTTTGTATTTTTAGTAAGCGATTGTACGGACTAAATACATATCAAGAGAGTGAAAACAAGTATCTGTGGATAATTAAAAAGAGATTTAGGTTCAAATCACTCAAATAAAACTATATAATTAGCATGATACGGAAAAATATAAATGCTTGCAGTAAGCTTTGCCTATTAATAGAGCATCGAAAAAATCTTTTTTTAAATAGCTAAAATTGATTAATATTAAAGAAACATAAGAGATATGTGTTATACTTGTGACATTTATTTAGAATTTGAAACTTGGAATAATTTTATTGTGTTTAGAATTTGGATATGGTTCGAAGATTTGTAGTGCGTGGTTTTTTGGATAAAGAAGCTACTCATTATGTTCTCAGCATTAATAAAGTCATAACTATTTGAGGTAAATTTCGATGATTGTTTATTAATGTTAACATTCGCGAAGTATATCATTAATCGGTTGACACAAAAATATTTATCGTTGAAAAAAAAAAACACGACATAGGTGTGTATAACTTTTAATATTTCTTGACGTGTACAAGTAAACAAATTGAAAATTTGCTATATATTGTCAATATCTATAACTTTTTTAAATTGATTACTTTGTATTTACGAGTGTTCTTTTGGCGATCGGTTCTTTATTTTTGGAAATAACATTTGTCACAACAAATTATTTGTTTAAATTAATAAAATTTAGTTTGTTTCGTTCCTCTAAGTCGTGATATTTTAAGCTTTAATACTTAATTTTCAAGAATATGTTAATATGTTGAACTGAGATGTTTCCGAAAAAAATATATTATAGCACATTATACATTCTTAGTATACATTATAAGCAATTTGTTATAAATAAATGAATCATCCTTGAACAACAGCATAAACATTTAAATACATTCCAGATTTAAAAACTCTATCAAAATAATCAAAATTCAAATGAGGCCAATATTTATCAGCCAAAACCAATTCAATTTTCTTGGTTTCTGAGTTTGACTGTGACTTACTGTGCTCTTCAAATATTGACAAGTCCGTTGTTGAAGGTGTTACTAACAACGTTCTATTTGCAAAAAATATTATGATATAAATTTTAATTTAATATTATTTTTTTTTTTTTCCTCTCCTCGAAATAATAACCATAATATCAAAAATACCTTTCATATTGTCTTAGGGTAATATTACCATTGACACGTTGTTGAAAATAGATATGTCTCAAATAAGGAGTAATTAAGTGTTTTGGGGGGCTAACTTGTTTCAACAACAAAGCTTCTAAGATTTTAATTGGTCGACCAGCTAGATCGTGGATGTTAACTTGCACACTTGTATCTGCAATTTTATAAGCTTATAATTAAAATGAAAAAATTTCTTGTAAAATGTAAATGAAATGAGAAATTATAATACCACGCCAAGCTTCCGGGTACCCAAATAGATGACGTGGAGGCATATAAGTTTTGTAAAATATGATGTTGGTTATAAAAGTCTCTGAAGGGTTTATGACTATATTATAACAAAAATTAATTAATAAGCAACAACCTTTATTATAAGTCTAAAAGAGAAATTAATCAAATTATTCATAAACAAACCTGGTCTAATAATCCTTTTACCAACATCACAACGAACGTATCCTTCGTATTCCTCACAATTCCTGAACCCAATCGCTTCATATTGTAATCTTTGAATTATTGGTATAATTCCTGCTTGATGGAGTCCGCCAAAGAACATTGCAAATATGGCATTAAATATTACCCATGAAAGCTTCGAAATAATAAATTAAAATTTAGTATCGATTCTTAATTATAACAATAAATATTAAAGATTTACATAGTCCATGATTAACATACCCAAAATAATTTCGGTAATTTTTGTAATCTATCTGAAGGTACTACTATCACAGAAATTAAAAGTGGTAAAAGGAACCTTGGTTCTTGGTGCGGTATCAATGAAAGTAATATGAATCCACACAGACCACTATAAATAATAACTATTAAAAGATGTAAATGATGTTTGTTAGAAATTATTATAAAAATAATATGAATTAGTACGCAGATCACATGAGAATGAAATCCGCTTTTTCACAATAAAAAACATAGCCAAACACGGATTTCACCCCTAAAATAATTTCTTATAGATAGTAAATATTGCATGAATAGGTCAATATACATTATTTTGCATTTGAAAGTGTTTGCAGTACCCAATTACAAATATTAAATACAAATATTGAATGATAGAACAAACAAACAATTCATCTTCATAATGGCAAATTAAGGTAAAAATAATTGATTTTATATTTTGGTAACTTACCAGTCTTGTATCTTTTCTTAGCTGTAAATCTCATGTAATTAAAACTGGCATTAAGATCCTTCATTGCCAGTAATACAAGTGGTCCAAAAAGAAGAACAAAATTGAAAATATGAAGGTATCTAGGATGAAGTCCATGCTCTGCTAAATTATTAGAATCAAGATTGTATCGGATATTATTTAATGGTGTAAATATTAGCCTTCCCTACAAGGAAAGCATATAAGTATTATTTATACATATATATGTGTAAGTAATAATTTAAATAGTTTAGTAATCTTCACCTGCCACTCAACTTTAAGTAATGTCATTGGATTACTTAAAAATTCAAATATATGGTGTTTAGTCAACACAACATCATTATACATTAGTTTTAATGTCCCAAAGTATAAAGAATCGACCATAATACAAAATGCACTTATGATGCATATGCCAAATGCCAGAGGAATCAATTCTTGAAACTTTTCAGACCTTGATAATGTTCATAAATTTAGTGGTATAAGTTACCTTTAACCATTTTAAATAAATACACGCATATATATATATATGGAATAGTTATATACCAATTTTTGTTTAGAGTTCTGGGAGAAAGAAATATATGATAAAGTACAGCTACTACGATAGGAAATACGTAAAGTATAAAAGTAACCCTAGTGAAAATACCCAGAGATATAAGAGAACCCAAAAGGAATGCATGATTCGCGGAAATTTCTTCCTATAAAAATTATTTATCAAAGTAAAAAAAAATGAAATAAATTAAAAAAGTATTCATCAATTACAACTGGATCACTACAATAAAACCGTATTATTATTCATACTTCATCTTTTGAATGCAATAAAATGTTTCACTGTATAAGAAGCCAATACCTTTACTGAAGAAGACATGCTTTGTTTTCGAATTTGAGGCTCAATTGATGTAGTTGCTTTTATATACACGATATAACAAAGAGACAATAGGATAGATTCGATGGTGTTTGAAAAAGGTCGGGTATGGTATATAAGAAGAACGTACGATGATGCAAAAACAAGTAAGGATTTTATAGCATTTCTCGGATAATACAATTTGGCTAACGTATAGCCAGTGTAATCTATTAATCAGCAATTCATGTTAGCATTGTATTTATTTATTGATTTATTTCTAAGTAAAAATAGCGCAAACATACCTATCACGAATGATAAGAAAAAGAAAGTAAGTCTTTGCGTCATGAAAATGGAATAAGAATTAATGATATCTATGTAATTATTGTGATAATTAGCAATATTTATACAATATGTTTAAAAGGCGTTTATCAAACAACCAATGTACCAGTAAATCCCAACCCTGTTCTCAGATTATTCAAAATTTTTAAAAATTTAAAGGGCAATCCGACGGTCAAAGCCCTAATTTTTATTTTAATGCAATAAATTAGAACGGAAGAACCACTGTCAAATATAATACCAATATTAATTTCTTACGGAATGACTATAGAACGACATTGTGGATATTTTTCAAATTCCCAAGGCCTAAATACCTCAAACCCAAATACATCACCTATTATCAAAAAAATTTATTTTTGTTAATAACTAATGTCGAGTAATTATAAAAAAGATTTATCAAAGTACAAACCACCCATAATTTCTGGGGATTGAAAGAATTCATCGGGATGAATATACCCAGTCGATAAAGAACAAATTAATCTCAGAGAACATAAGAATATATAGGCAATAACGCTTTTCCAATCATATGTCATCATTACAAAGGTATATACATGTGTACCTCACACGTTAAAAATTATTGAATTGAGAAGAAAGATTATAATTATGCAGCTGATCGCAACTCGGTTGATCTGAAGAATTTGACATCCCCCATATATATCTACTCTTAACAGATTTGGGGTTTTAAAAAAATAATTGGGGTTTTGGAATCATCCCAAAATAGGGATGTTGAAAGCTGGTCCGGTCTTCCGAAACCGGTCTAATCCTAACAATTTAATGTATAGAATAACAGTGAACGAGTATCATGTTTTAATTATAATTACATGGGTTGTATTGAACTCGTTCCAGTACGTATTAAAATCACACTTGAATCGACGTAAATTAGTCAATTAGAAGACCTTGAGATAATTTTTTACAGGGGAATCGCCAAATTTCCGGGTCGGATTCATCGGATTTAGGCCGGCATTTAGCAATACTGATACAAGTAACAGTTAGAGGTTGGAGCCGGTTTTAATAATTCGAGTTTATCCCGTGAATTTTGGGATATTTTAGAAATTTATCCAATTAAATTTTAATAAATTCTAAAATATCCCAAAAATTCATGTGATAAACCCGAATTATTAAAACCTCCAACCTCTAGTCGTGATTGGTCGATCAGTGAAATTAAAATAACTCACCATGATTGGTCAGATTATATAAATCGTAAACTCGAATAGAATATAACTAACTTTCATCCGGGATGACATCACCCGTACTATAAAATTGTTAAAATTAATAAATAAAATAAACTTTTGAAGGTTAGGATTAGGGTTCAAATTTATGTTAGAGTTAGGGTATAAGGTTATACATATCCAAAATTACATGCTGAAAACTTTTACTTAATAGCTCAAAGTTTAGCTTTCATAATAAAATTTTATTTTTGTTACACAATATCCTGTGATCTGATTGGCTTTACATATAATGAAGTGACATCACCCCGGGTGAAAGTTAGCAACACTATTTCGAATAATAGTATCGTAAATTCAAATAATTTAAATTTTTTATTTTTTATTTTCGAAGAAAAATAAATTTTATTTAAAAAAAAAAAATTATTTATTTTAGCCTTTAAAGTTTTGCAATAAATCATTAAGCTTCATTTTTTCAATATCATTAAGGATGATAAGTTCATTGTCTTTGGTCATTTCATTTTCGAGTTCTTTTGATTTATTTTTTTGAGCCTGCTCTTTTTTTCAGCACCTAGCCCATGTGATTCGGATTTGATTATTGGCAATTTTGATTACAGATATCATACAATAACGAATAAAAAAAATTTTCTTCTATCATTGTTACTACTGTGCTGTTATTGTTTAAAATTTTGCTTAGTTTTATTCTACTTTATATTTATTTTATTAGCATATTTAAATCAACCAAAATTTTTTTTATAACGATAAGTTGTTCTTTTACTATGTCAGATCAACAACCCAAATCCTGCACAGGATGTCATACTATTCAAAATAATGAGATTTTTTTGAATGAAAAAGGAATCAAAATAAAAAACGTTTACAATGCCGAAACCAAATTAAATTATCATGTTTAAAGAATAATCAAGAACCTGACACGACAATTATAAAATTTTATCTTGCAAAAAAATTTATCTAAAGTTCAAATACTTTTAGAGCGATAGTAATAATGAAATAACCAAAAGAAAACGTATAAATAATAAAACTTTAAGCGATCCATGTTATTCATTAAAAAAATTCTTTTGAAAAACTTAGAGACCATATTTTATTGTTTGATAACAATTCATAAATACGCATTTTCTGGTTAAGTGATCGAAATTGAATTGTCCATAATCAAATCCGAATCACACAATAACATGTACCCGACAGATCTGTCCGGCTACCATTTTTGGCGGGCGGCGCTAGGGTCGTTTCATATGACCAACACTTTGGAGGTGTGGCCCAAATTAATTTCACATGTCTATATATAAACGTAATAACTTTGTGAATGACCCAAAAATCAAAATCTATTCCAAACAAAATTGTGGCTTAACCAAATTATTACAAATTTGTTAAAAAAAAAGATTTTTGATTTATATAATATAAAATTTTGTATGTTTTTTGTTGTCCTTTTTTTCCTCACTTTATAATGGGCAAAAAAACTGAATCCAATCAAATTTTACACCGTGAACTTTACCAAAGAATGAACTTTCTTTACCAAGCTGCAACTTTAATGACAACTATAACCACTTCACCAACGATTACTTTAGCTCAATCAAATAATTCAATAAATCCGAAATCCATTTCTTCTGCTGTAAATGAATCTGATGAATCACAATGTTCATTGGTTACTTCTTCAGCTACTACTAAAAGAAATTTAATTCCGCTCTCCCGCTTTTACATCTCTACAATGAAGTCTATTGGCACAAAACAAGTTCTCAGAATCGATCCTTCAATAAAAAGGACTTTATGCAGAAAATGTGAAACAGTACTTTTACCAGGCGTTACTTCGCGTATCCGAATTAAACGTAAAGGATTTTTCTAAAAAAAGGGTTATTATTTTAGAAAAGAAAAACTAAGTTTCATTCATTTATCAAAAATAGCCAAACCGGAACCACAACTCCAAGTAATGTGCACACAATGCGGTACCGCACGAGTATATCCTATCAGGAAAGGGTATCAACTATTTTCAGAAAAATCTGAAAATATTCATAATGGAGAATAGAGTTAGAACCGGGTTATAGTAAACCGGGTCACCCGTGTCAAAACGCAAAACGGTTGAATATGTAACCTCTAAAAATCTGTTACTATTACACTGAAAACATAAAATTTAACAAATTATTATTGTATTATGAAAATAAACACCCTTTGTTTTCTTACTAATTTATCTAATTGGTAATTATTTTTGGATCCAGACCAAAATGTTATTATGTTATATATAAAAATTGGTCCGGATTTAAAAATAATTACCCAAATGTTCAATCCCGACTATCTATTGCCTTCATTATTACTTTTTTTGCTTTGTTCAATAGTACTCCAGTAATTCGTAGCGCCGGGATTCGGGTTATGTAACGTGATTGCGTTGCATGAATTGCGTGATCGTAGATGGCATACAATTAATTAAAAGTCTAATATATACGTATGTACGTGCGTATGTTATTACAAATAAATTAAAATACATCTTTTCCTCTCGTAATATCTTAATATCTTCCATCAATAATTGTCCGAAGCGTAGCGAGGATTTACATGTACATATAAAAGGTGAAAAAATGTCCGTGTGATTGGCATGCGATTATACCGGTATAATAGAAAATGGTAGTATAATGTCAGGTATAATACTGTATAATATGATATAGCATGGTATAACTATCATTATATATTGATCAGAATTTTTTTAAGAGAAACTTCAAAATTGCAGATAAGCAATTTAATTGGCTACCCTATTTCTATTATTAGCATTATACCTAAACCTCTGTGTATGATATAAATCAAAATCAAATTAATTGATTAGTTAGTTAAGTTGACAATGAATTTTTTAGATATCAATTTATTAATTTTTTTTTAATATTAATGGTGAGGCCATGCTTCTATTTTTATTGAATATTTAATTGAGATTTTACATAAAGTACAATTTTGTTTTTAAAATATTATAGAAAGAATAGAAGCTCAGACTAATTTATCTGTGACCTAAACCAACAGGAGTAGCCAAGGCTTACCTAGATTTGAGTGTTAGTAATTATGTATAGATAACAATTCATTAATTAATTGATTAGTTGTAATTAATTAATTAATTGATTAGTTGTAACTAATTAATTAAAGAATTAATTAATTAATTACAAAAAATTGATTAAAAAAATTATTTATTTACTTAATAAATTAATTATAATTAATTAATTAATTAATTAACTAGTTACAACTAATTAATTAATAAATCAATTGCAATTAATTGATCAAGTAATTAGTTGTAACTAATTAATTAATTCTCTGATTATTATATCAAGATTATAAAAGAATTAATTAATAATATTTTAATTATATATAAATAAGCAGAAACAAGTTTTTGTTAATTTTTAACAGATTAGAATATTATTATTACCAATTAGTTGATTCTTTTAACTTTATTAACATATTTTTGGAAATGTAATTTTATAAAAAGCTATTACAAAAAGAGTATATAATTGATTAATTGTGTAATTTTTTTTTTTGAGTATCTCTGTTGCTTTTAGCAAACTAGGGGTGCAGTTGGCGCTCTTTATTAAAGTATTATTATA